TTCACAAACCTCAGCCTTTCTCCTGATGCCAAGGCACATAGCACTCACATTTCAATTAAACAGGGACCTTACATTTCCCAACAACACAGATCTTCATCAAATTCTCATCAGCTTTAGATGAACCATAAGTAGAGAACATGTCTCCTCCCACTTCCTAATCCTGGTTTTACACATAATCATGTCAGTTTTTATTATGAGCCCCTCCTACCAACCCTTAACACCAGCCCAGTACACTTTCCAGCATCAGAAACACAACACACTCTTCAACCACCTCCCACTCCCTTACCCCTGCTTTTTGCCCTTCCGTCTTTTCAATACTCCTTGGTCTAATACATCTTAAATTAATCCGTGTAACCCATGAAAACCAAATATAGGCTCCCCATTTCCAGATTCCTCAGCCCCATCCTATCCCTGCTATCTTCAACTTTATATAAGCATTTCTTCTTGCAGAGGCAGTCATCTTTAGCCCTGCAGGGTCTGTAACGTCCAGATTTTTCCTTCCTGCTTTAACTTATAAACCCTGGGGAAGTATAAATCAGATGCTAGATGATTAAATTATTGAAGGCCCCCAAGACAACCATACCATTTCCTCCACAGTAGCAGGGCCTTTGGTTCTCAGCCGAAGCGTTTCTCGTCCTCTGGAGATTTTAGCCTCTGGCAGAGTTCCACCTTTGGACCTTGGTTCCAGCTTTTCTAAAGACAAAACAAACAACAAAAAGATAATAATACCAAAAAAAACTAAGTACATAGCACTCAGAATATGATGTAACTGCTTTGGCTATTATATTACTTTTACTTTTTATTCTAATCAAGATCTAAATGTATGTTAAAAAATAATTATAAATTAACTGTATTCTAAATATAGCTTTGCTGACAATTTCTTGTCTTCAAACTTTGAAATCCACGTGACTGCAATGAAGCTCAGAATTCCATTGAACAATATATCTATGCGAGCCTTTTGCACTCAAGTTCATACATGGACTTTGTAAAATGTTATTTCCCTATTCTACAGAAAAGAATAAATATTTATTACTTAATATGAGATAATGGCTGAAGTTAACAGTCAAAAGCTGATTTACACTGGTCTTTACAGGCAGACTATGTGCCAAGCATTGCAACATTTCCATCTTTCACTGATGCAGTGGTGCAAACAGCACTGGTGAACATGTTGTGATGTGCCCCCTTGAGCTGAGCCAACAATTTGATGACCAGCAGTCACACAGGGGAAGTGTCCCTAAAGTAGATCTGCAGTTTTTCTACTGGTTTCGCCAAGGTCATGAACTCATACCTCATAAATCTCATCCAAGAATGTCTGGGTTTAGCCAGTTTTCCTTACTGGATTTCCTTGTTTAATCTTAGGTAAGTGCACACCAATTACTAAGTGGAATATGGAATCACTTAAGATTTGGCTTTCTTGTTCTAGGACATAATTTTACATTCAAGATTGGCAAGGTTTTAATTTACTAACATGGGAGTTGTGTAGTTAATCTGGAAAGTGCTAGAACCTTTCTAACAAGCTCTTTTTGAAGGCAAGGCTTTAACATGATATATTCATCTTGCCCACATAGACACCAACTCATCATTGTTGCCTAAGTAGTCAAAAATACAGAAAAAAAGTGCTGAAAAAGACTTGAAAAGCCATGGTTGTTTTTCTTTTACCAAATAGATATGGCAGAGTCTATTTACATACATACTTAGGATCAACATTTTTCATTAACCCTTTTATTGCTTCAAGGACAATTTAAAACATCCCTAAGATTGTTACCATTTCTGCTACACTTGTTTCAAAAAATCAGTCCTGATACAACATGCATCTTTTTCTAGTTTTACCACCATCAGCACCTTAAAAGTCAGGAACTGACATAACCTTTACTTGCAATACTTCAGATCAAGGCTCTCCAGCCATCACAGAACCTATTTTTTGCATTCACATAATTTAGAGATTTTGTTGTGCTGCCTTTACTTTATTTCTATAATTTTTCACTAATTTGTAGAGGGCTAGCTTGTGACTGGCAAGGACCAATCTAAATTCAGAAAAGTCTTTAATTCTGTGTTACAAGTCTTGCCTAGAGGAGCTGAGGCAGCCTGTGTGCTCATGGTAGAAAGATATGCAACCAGTAAATTATATTTCATATTCTGCTGAGAGAAGGAAAACAAAAGTAATTTCACACAGAGACTTGTCTCTTATTTCTATCCCCTCACAAACTTGTGTTGAAACTAACAAGAATTCAGCACCTACTTATGCAGTAGGATCTGGATCTTGTTTGTCATCTCCTCCAGGGATATTCTCAGCAGGCTGCAGCTTTAACACTATCTCAAATAAAATTTTTGCTTAAAGCCTAACTGCACCTGAGGCTAGAGGCAGGATATTCTAACCTATCAGCTACTGCAACTTGTAAATCGATTTACAAGTTAGGTTAAAAATAATGTTCATCTTCAAAAATGTTTCAATGCCTCTTAATTCCATATCAGATAAAAGGTATTGCTATGGAATTCGCATGTTTCCTTCCCTACTTCACAGGCAGACTAAAAGGTATTTCTGTCACTTGACTGAAGTAATTACTATTAAATAATAGTTGAAGTAATCAATCACATACTGATTTACCCTCATCTTTACACATAGACTGTGTAACAAGTTTAGCATTGAATACCAAGTGTAGCCCCATATTAAAAAAGGTATTCCTATATGACCAATTGCAATACTATACATATGTAATACTATTTTAGCATAAAGTACAAGATATGCAGTTATTTAACCAGAGTATCAGCTTCTATCCAAATGCATTACAGATTAGTTCATAACTTTCATTCTTCACAGAAGTACTAAAAGCAAAAAGAAATCTTAAAATGTCTCTCATTTTCAATATCTGCTGCTATTCTGACACCAAGTGTCAAGACTGGTGTATGACAGCAGCTCTGAGCTATTATCAGGTAAAAAGAGGTTTGAAAAATAAACATGTTGAACTTCCAATGCTGATGTGAAGATGGTGATTTTGAACTTGCTGTTAGAGCAGATGTGCACAAAGACCCAACAATTATAATGAAGCAGTATTTTGAATTTTTTTATTACAGAAAAATGCCACATAGTTTGAGGGCGTTATGAAAAATTGAGATAATAAAAATTAAAATTCAGTGTCCATTTTGACTCCCTGAACTAAGGCTGTTTGGTTTTTTTTCTATTTTACTGCATCTGTACAATTAAGATACATAAGGACTAGCAGTAGGTATGCTATATAAGTAACACTTTCTTATAGCATGCAGGTATGAAGTAGAGGCAGAGCTTTGCCCTGCTGTTTTCTTCCAATTCTGAGTATAACTGCTGTGATTAGAGACCCACAAAAACGTTGGAGAAAGTGGGCAGGCATGAAGCAAAAGAGGTGCTCTAGGAAATCTCAGACAACGTTTTCTGCAGCGTTCTTCTGCATTAGAGAGGGCAGACCCCAGTAAAGGGCACAGAAATAGGAAAATATGACACAGATGAACAGAGATTATGTATCAATAGAGGAAAAGAGAAGAGCACATTCAAGGATCAGCACATTAGTGAAGTGATTCATGCTATAAAACTTTGCCTGTGAAACAATTCCTGTACTGATTTTACATCATCATGTGGTGACAAAGGAACTGAGCAAACAAGACTCAGGCAGCCCACACCAGGATGACTACTGGGGAAAGCAAGACAGAAGGAAATCCATTCATAAATTTTCCAACTCAAAGAAAAAACATGAATGTACTTTCTTGTAACAGTTACATTACCTTGGGTGGACACCCGGCTGCAACCTGAAAACAAACTTATAATGTTGTGTTGGGATTTTGATATCCCGTGAACAAGGTGGACAGCCAGGTAACTCACCAAATGATTTCCTAGGCTCTATCAACTCCAGCTTAAACACTCGACCTTTCTCCAGATCTTTTAGCATCCTGGCAACTTCATAATGCCGACAATCTGACACATGTTTTCCATTTATAGTCTCAATGTGATCACCCACACAGATCATTTTGGTTTGGTCCATAAGGCTACCTTCTTTGATTCGCTAGTTTTTAAATAAATAAAAAAAAATAGAATTAGAAACATTTCTTTAAAATGTAGAGAGGTGACACCACCATGTTTCAAGACTGTCAGTTAACAACATCAATAGCATTGAGCTTATTATATCAGCAGTGCATGTTGTCTGTAAGATCTGTATTAAATGCATTATTTTTCCAAGTATTTTAATAAGCACTGAATATAAAATTAACAGGAAAAGAAAAGAAGAAAGCATTTATACTTTAGAAATTAAAGCTTCTGAATAAGCTAGAATTTTTGTGCTTTAAAACTAATCTCCAACATGTCAGTAAAGTGAAGGTTTAACTGAATTTTTTGGTTATATTTTGGTTTAATAACTAGACAAGTAGAGGAATAGAACTTCTCTTTTCAAGTATTGTCCAAGGCCATTAAAAAAAATGTTTGTGATATCCTAAAAAATTACACACTCTTAAGGGCTAGTCTTAACAAGACCCACCTACAGTGATAAAACTACCATTTTCCTCATCAAACTATACAGCTAGATCTAAGATATTTCCACTGAAATAACTATCAAGAATAAGAAATTATTCTAAATGTCATCTCATGGAATACAAATGGTCTGAAAGTCATAAAATGTGAAAGTATGTGTAGGTTTTGTGAAGTGGAGGTAAAAAAGTGAGAAAAAAAAACCCACAATCTTCAAAAGATCTCTGATTCATCAAGACAATTAAAGAACACTTCAAATGTCATTGATTCTGCTTACGGTTATTACATGTTGTCATATTTGTTTATCATGTGCCTAAGTCATATAAGCTGTTATCCTATGGATATTTAATAGAAAAGCTGTGACATAGTAGAACATCTTATATTTTGTAGGGATAGGAATTTCATTCTAATATCTTCCTGAATGTTCTTTTCAATAAAGCCTGATGTTCAGGCTAATGTTGATTGAGGTAACCGTGAGACAAAGACGATAGAGAGATTAACTACCTACTACTATAACACCTAGCTTAGCTGCTTAACTCTCTCAGAAAGCTTCTCCTAGTTTATGTGCACACATCTGAGCCCACATATGTGCCTCCATCTGAGAAAGTCAGTGGGAAGTGTGATAGTTCTCAGTGTCCTGTAACACACTGCAAAAATTCTTAGCTTCAGGCTGAGTTTAACTCTATCTAGCATTTTTTTTCTTTAACCCAAAGTAAAACCAAAAAGAAAACACATGGTGAATGAAGAGGGAGGTATTGTACAAACACCAGAAACCAGGTCTCAAATGCATTTCTGTTATCAGGTACCAGGATTCAAAAGCATGCCCACCAAACCTCAATCCTTTGTCTGTGTGTTGAATTCACACTTATTTAGCTTTTCTTCCGCATTTGGATCCTAAGACCAAAACTGTTTCAGTAATATTCACTATGTTATTTGTGTCCTATCAAACCTTTTTTTTTTAAGATTGTTTATTTTTTGTCAACACTCCAAGTTAGCTGGCCAGAGATAGTCAAGTTACATTGTCAAAGTCATTATCTTGCAATTGATATGCCTGTATTTCAAGTGCTCTCCAAACCATTTAGAAGCTAGGATCTATATTTCCTATGCAATGCCTAATTAATTGCAACATCATATTTTATAATGTCTCCTTATATACCAATCAGTCATGCTTCAATTTCTACTGTTATCCTCTTTGAATGGCTGATTTGATCCCATAAAACACCTTCCTATCTGGCTACATACCCAGAAAAAAAAAAACTGGTAAAAGTAGCATGACACAGGGTTTTGTACTTAGTAAGATAAAATGACATCAGATTTCATAGGAAAAGAACTTCCAGTGCAGAGTGTCCTATATAAAAGCTGGGTTATTTATCTGAACTAGAAACTGCTCTTATCCAAAACACAATAAAAATACTATAGCCCATAAAAATTTTCAACAACCCACAGGTAGGTAAATTTAATAGTAATAATTAATAAATAATGGAACACACTAACAATTTTTCAAGGAAAATTAATACATAAACAAAAAGAATTATAACATACTTCAAAGCAGAGACAGTCTCTCCTTGGTCATTTACTTGGACAACAAAGTATAAAAAGATGCAGCTTTTACTTTTGTATGTGTTTTCCATGCTATTTTTAAAACTCCTTTAGCTGAATGTGCAACAGCAACAAAGTTAGCTGCTAGAAACTCCTGTAAACTGATGCACTCCCACAAAGACTGCACCATATCAGTTATACTGCTTATTAGACCAGTACAAGGACAATGATATATTTGCTCATACAATTTTTATACAATTCACTGGAAATTACAGCCTATCTTGTTAATGTAGTGAAGGTTTTCCAGTCTACTCCGATTATACAGTAGTTTGTGTGATGACTGTTCTCTCTCCCCTGTAGTACCAACCAAGCAAGCATGGTGAGACTAACTCTCCATACAGCACTGCACACGTGAATGTTCATCCCCAAATCACTGCTTTCATTGCCTGCTTTCAAAATGCCACATAAACAGCAGCATGGCAGAATGTCATGGGCTGCACAGATGCTACCACCAGAAGTTCAGAATTCTGTGTCTATAAACATAAAAATGAGGCTATATGTTTGCCAGACTACTTACTGAAACCTCCACTGCATCTTGACTTTCTCAAGCATGATCTTGATCACAGTTTTCCACAGCATAGACAAGTAAACTTATTTCTAAACCACATCTTGCTTTACATCCATGGTACCTAAGGAGTGGCTGGAGAAGACAACCTCTCCATATAAGAAGCTGTGTGTGCAATAGCAATGAGAACAATGACTGAAACCACAGTGATTGAAGTTAATTGCCAGTGTCTCACTAACACTGGATAATTGTAGATTAGAGCAAAGCATCTAAGAGAGCCAGAAAATGTGATTAAGTTTCCTAATACCTAGTCTAGCAAGAAAGGTAGCATAATGTCCTCAGCCTCTACTTGTCTCAAGATATATGAGCTGGAGGTCATATAGAAGAGGAGGAGGAAAGTAATTATTATTACTATATTGTACATGTTACTGCCCACAGTTTCTACTCTGGTTAATTGTGGTAAATTGTGCTAAACTATATCCTTAGCAACTTTTTAATTCATTCTACCTAAGGTGACAATATTGGAAAGCTGAAAAAGCACTGTATTTATACCTGTTCTTATAGATAACAAAGGCTTCTGCCCTACGAACAATCATAAAAGACTAAAATAACATGATCTCATTATCCTAACTGACAGATGTTCTATGAGCACCAAATCAATGACTTCAGAAAAGCACTTAAAAAAAGAGGGGGCAGATGCATGCAGTACCTAACACCTACCACCTCAGGGTAGGTCAGAAAATACAATGGTCACATTGTAAAGCTGATGCACACTGAACAAATGAACTAATTTTGAATGACATGTAGTACCAAAATAGCTGAACTAATTTTGAATCATGTACCTAAAGAAAAGCAACTTTATTTTTTACTTACCATATACTACTTACATAGTTCTAGAAGATCACTAAACCAATAATTAAGCAAAGCTTCTACAGAACAAAATATTTCACTAGTAATTAAATTTACCTTAATAAATGCACATCCAGTTCCATTGTCTGTAATGGTAAGCCCAAGCACATCATCAGTTTTAAGAACTTCCACTTCTTTTCGTTGTCCTTTTACGTGGGCAAATATGAAATCTTCAAGGCCAATTTGTGCACCTAAGAGCTTGTCCATATCAGCTTTGTGAGTGTTCAAAGTGCAAAACATGATCTGTGCAGGATGAAAGCAAACATTCTCTTTAAGCTTGACAGTATATTAAGTTTGGTGAGCTTGATAGGTAGATAAAAGGAGAGCCCCTCTGACAGATCTATAGACGAAACTATGACAACTCTCCTTCTGCAGCTTCCCCAGGAGAGGTCACAGTCCCATCCACATATATGACAGGAAGCATCAATAGCTCAAACTCGGGAGATGAGAGCTGGCAGGGAGTAAAGCAGAGAGATATATCTGTGTGAGCAGGTATATCAGCCTGCTGAAGGGTCTCCTTCTGCCCTCCTGGCTTCCTTCACTATGCTTGTAAAAGTCATGGGATTTTCTGTACCAGAACACTTCAAATGCATTTTCTTTCTTTTCAGCATCACTGGATGACAGCAGAAAAAAATTAAAGCCACCAACATATTTAAATCTTTTTCAGGTCAAATGAGGGGTGAATACTTTTCTCAATTTATTTCATAGAGAGCATTTAGATTTTCAAAGCTTTCTAGAACTTAGATTCTGTAACTGTGGAGGTTTTGATTTTAAAAACTGGAAGTTTAGTAATGAGATGGTGTTTCTTGACCAGGGTGGTCTTATTTAGTTCTTGTTAAAAAGCAAACAAACAAAAAAACCCCAAACAACCAAAACAGCCCTACTTCAAAGACTAATTGCTTATCTCATATAATGCATCAAACACCCACTGCAATCTAACACTTTACCTTTAACAACGAGAGTCATAACAGTACACCCTTAACAGACATTTATTTTATTCTCTCAGGCAATGTAAAGTTTTTCAGTTAACCAATACTCAACCAGTAATATCACCTAGAGAAATTTAACTACTTTAAAGTAGAAAATGAAATTTTGTTTTATAAATAATAATAATCTCTGATTATTAACATTTTTTTAACCAAGAAGCTTCAATTCAAACAGCCTATATAAAGTTAATCTAGACATTTTGAGCTCCCTCTCAAACTGCATAACTCGGCCAGTTTACAACTGCAATTCAATTCTTGTTCTTACATTGAACAAGAAGCACTATCTATAGCTTTACATTCAGATATTACATCCTTCATCTGACCTTGTCAAACAGACAATCATCTTGTAACTACTGTCACACCTTTGAATAGATAAAATTGGCAACGGAGCAGAAATGTGATATTTAGAAACTCGATCCAGAGTTTCTCTTTTTAGACCTTCATCTGGATGGCATTCCTACTACAGCCTATAAGTCTGCAGAATTTTTTGTGAGTCAGTTCTGTGCTAACCACAAGGCTCAGAGAGCATTAGCCAGTCAAAAATAAAACTTAACTCATTCTTTATCCTCTTCAGTGAACAACTGTTTTCTCTCAGAACAGAGATATGCAAAGAGTAATGTACTAAAGATGTATCTACCCAGGATAATATACAGTTACACAATCTATCAGTTACAGCACAGCTTTATTTGTACATGACTGAGACCTGACAATTCAAAATTATATTTTTTCATAGATTTTACATAATTAAATATAGGTACTTAATAACAGGTTATATACTTAAAGACTTAAACAACAGCTACTACAGTGCACCTTCCATTGACACAAAGTTTGGAAGCAAGAAAAAAATTCAATGTGTAATTTTCATTGTTAAGTCTTTTCTTACCCTCAACCTTCTTTTTATTTTATCTTTAAATCAGCATATCACTGCTGTGACATTTCTTTCCAACTTTTAAAAGATATTGTAAATCATAACTGTTACATCAGTCACAAAATGTCAGGGATACCTCCTTCACTGAGAGAGTTATCTTGCGTGGTACACAGAACAAGGAAATTCCATTCAGCTGGCAGGGACTGGGGGATTACATACAACCTTATAAAACAGATTTGTCAGATAAGATTACTAACAGTTTATTCTCTGCCTCAGTATTCTCAATAGGAAGAGACTACATTAGCCAATAAAACCAGGGTTACATTGCATGTTATGTAAGGAAATTATATTAGCTGACAAGGGTTACACTATGTGTTAAATAAAGTATACAGGCAGTACCATACTGCATATTCTATGTAGCAATTATATTCTCATCTTCCTTATTAAGCCTACACCTTGAGAAGAACTCAAAAATAAGCTGAATGATAGATGACATGCTCAGGAGCAATTAAAAGTGCTTTTAACATCAGTATCTCTCAGATAACTAGAAAGGAGATCATAATCGCTTTCTCTATTTAAGAGGTGGAGAAATGGGAATTCTGCTTCTGAGCAAGATGTAACACCCACTGGCACATTTCCCTATATACGTAGGCGTCATTATGTCAAGAAATTACCAACGCATTTTCTAGGTACCTTACTCATTTTATCCTCCTGAAAGAAAATATAGAAGCCTTGATTGGCTGCAGGAACAAGAAGAGTAACCAGCTCCTCAGAGTTCTAGTGTGCTTTAGGTACTCTAGGATGTATACAACTTTGCCTCCCTAAGTACAATCAAAGTACTAGAAAATAAGCATTCAGTGTTTTATTCGTGGTTTTCTTTTTTAAAACCCAGAATGCACAAGAATTTCAGTGTAAATTCTTCCATATAGCTTAAAAGTATTTGAAAAACAGATCACTAACACAGCCAGCATCACACCTAATGTGAGTGTGCAATTTAAGCACTTCTTAAGGGAACAGCAAGCAAACAATTGTTGCCATAGTGTTGGGAGGAGGTGGTTTGGAGGGAGCGTTAAGTTTGTTCATTTAAAGTCTTCAATCAGTAGGTGAGATTGTGAACAGGTAATTTCTTTCAACAGGTAAGCATATACTCTAAAACTTGGGTGATAAGGATTTCACAAGCTGTCCATTTTCTTTAACCTCTTAAAATAGGTCAGTTTCATTCAGAAACTTCCGTTTCAGCATACAGGCTTATTTTTCAGTTCTCTTCCATAAAAGTTTAAATCAAACAGCTATAAAACAAGAATTTCTGTGAAAGCTTAATGTGGCACAGCCTCACAGCATACTTAACTATTTATTTAGCATGAGGAGGCAAAACCTGTGGAACAGCCCACATACAACCTCAGCAGCTGAACTGTTACTGGAAGGCAGAGAGCTGTATTCCTGCCCTTGGTTACAGCGGGAAGGTCTCCCTTTTCCTGTATTCCCCTTATGAAGCAAAATTCCTTCCACTGTGAAGAAACCCCAACCTCCATGGGCTTTTGACAGACACACCCGCTGAGCATTCAACTTACCTCACCACCCCACTGTACTTCACCTTCCACAGCAAACAAAATAATCAAAGGTGCAAATTATGAATACACAAACTGTAAGTCCATACAGCTTCTGTGGTTTACCATTCCATTCTCATCTGATCAAGAAATAGCTCTGCTACAGATGGATTTAAATTGGGCACATTCCCAGTGCCCAATTAGCTACTTTCATTACTTTAAAGCCCTACCATGTGCTCTTACAGGAGCACACCACCACTGAATGCTTTAACAGACCCACATTGTCCTTTGGTCAGTGCTCATTTTTTTATCATACAGGCTGCACTTAGCACTTTCACGCTTACAGGGAACCTAACTTTCCCTGCCTCATTTCCCAGTAGTCAAAATGGAGTAGTAATCCTAAATGTCCAAGACTATACACAAATATTTTTTCCAAACACTTTTCTGTACCATCCTCTATAGAAAAAACAAGGAAAATGTTTGAATTATTTATGCAAGTAGAAATATACATGTAACTGTGGATGGCTGTTATGGTTAGTTAAGAATTGCATCTATTTTCCTATATATATATTAGCTCTGTGTTTCCTTGTTGAAACCCAATTGAAGAAATCCAGTTAAAAAATCAAGAACAATGTGATCTACCTCAAACTACACTCATATTAATGATAAAGGTAATAATTGCTAGAAGTCATCTTCACTCTTCCTTCCCTGTGGACAGAATACTCCTTTTGGACTAGGAAAAGAAGAAATGTTAGTCATGGTAAAAGCCAGAGAGGTAGGGAGAAATGTGGGCTGGTTGTCATCAAGTTCAAAAGGGATACCTGAGCTATATATTCACCTAGAAAGATGGATGAAGAATAAAAAAGCTAGACAAGAAAAGATTAGTACAGGAAAAGCCTCAGAAAGCTGCTGTTATGGCTCACTCCTTCATAGAAACCAAGCAAACATCATAGGAGCGAAAAGGTGTTCCCTTTAATGCTATCTCTGTCTTGTTCTAGCCCCATCCTACCCTACTCACAATCCAGGTCTGCACAGCAGTTTTTGTCAGTGTCTGTCCAACAAATACTGTGTTTTATACAAGTTTCACTCTGTCATTGTTGGCAGACAGTCACAGATCCTGGAAAGGATTCTCCAGCAGAAGCTAAACTCAGCTGGTCCTGTGAGACATGAGACAAAGAGGAAATGAGGTGCTGTAACCACGCAGAGACAAAAGAAGTGACAGATTACAAGTACAGCTCACCCTGAACTGTATTAAAACACATTTGTAGGAGATAGTCCAAGAATCCATACCTCACCTACACTGCAGTAAACTCACATACCATATCAAATGTATTCACTTCTGCCCCAGTTAGCCAAGTGCTTTCTACACTGAGCTATTCCTCACCCCACACACACTATTTTCCACCTTAGTCACTATTTTCCACCTTAGTCACTACAGGGCAGAGATCTCCATGATAGTACCTGTTTCCAAAGGCATTCAGGTATCACACTCATTCAGGATAGCTAGGTCACAGAAACTTTCCTCGACAGATAATACCTACAAACAGCATTTCAGTACCTCAGTGTCTTTCAGTTTGCTGAGGTGTAGGTTCTGGCACTATTCTTTACACCAGACTCTGTCCAAAAGCACCTTTAATTAATAGATAATACTATTTAAAATGTCTAGTCTTTCCTTACTTCAAGCAAGCTCAGCAGTTGCTAATAAATTCACATTTGATGGCACCCCTTGCTATTCACTCATTCATCCTATTTTAACTCTGGCAAAACTCTCAAGTTCAGGTTCTTCACTCTGCTGTGCCAGCTTTACACCAAGAAATATTTTTATTGCTATTTTGATTTCATGTA